AAAAAAAAAAAAAAAAAAAGTTTATGGATTTAGGATTGTTTAGCTCAGGAGAAGAAGGGATTGAAGATTGGAGAGGGCAGCACACGGCGGGCCGCGGTTTGCACGTCAGAGCCAGATGCAGAGCGGAGCCTGCCAGCCACGCCAGCTGTTCTGATGCAGTTAGGGGCTGGCCAACTTTGCTTGAGGATTACTTTTGAGAAGGACACTCTTCTAAAATATTATACTTGGAAAAGGGTCCTAGCATAGCTCCATCTTGTAGAAAATCATTCTAGAGATGGAATTTAGGCGCTCAGGTGGTGCATCTAGGTGGGCCAGCTCAGGCCTAGGGGGAAAGTTGGAGGAAAAAGTTTTGACTACTTTCAGGCCTGCCTTTCAAGTAGCTTTTTCCACCTTGGGTGCCTGGAATGCTGCCCAGTATTTTCCGAAGATATTTAAGGTTTCAAGGGTTCTCATCGTTTAATGTGTACCAACTGCCATAACCCCTTCACATGAGGGCACATTAACCTTTCACTGCGAAGACCTTACAATTTCAGCGCCCCAGCCGCCCCTCTCACCAGGCTTGGGGTCTGTGGCCCTTGGGTGTGCCTGTGGGTGTTGTGCTCAGGATCCTAATCCCATGGTCTCTTGACTTCCTCCTGTGCCGGCCACCCTCGATGAACACTGTGATGCCTGCATCCCGGGCCTTGCCAGGCAGCCCTCCTACACCTTAACATCCGTCCTCCCACTCCCACCACGACTTCCCCCACACATGGCCCTCTCCCCCCTTAACAAAGATGACTAAAATTTAATCAGCAAATTTAATATGTGACACACAGGTGAAGCTACCTACTTCATGTGAATTATTTAATCTTCACAATGATAGGTATATTATTACCATACCCATTTAACAGATGAGGAAATTAAAGCAAAGAAAGAATAAATAAACTAAGGTCACACCTTGGGGCCAGGATGGCCCCAGCAGCCTGACCACAGACCCCATGCTCTTACACTCTCTGTGTTTCCCGCTACGCCACTTCCACAGACATCTGGATCCTTTTTCCCTGGAGGTCCTTCATTTTACCTGGACTGTCTCTTTTTCTCTTCTCCAGCCTAGACTCCATGAGCTGTCCCTTCAGCCTCTGTCCTGCCAATACACTCAACTGTCCTGCCTCCTTGTACTTCTGCCACTGCCTGCCACCAAAGCCTTAACCCTTGATCGAACCAATAACCTACCTTCCTTATTCCGATACCCGGCCAGCTGAATGCTGTTGGATAAGATCAATTTCATCTTTGTCAAGGCCAAGTCACTGCCTGCAAGTGTATCTGACTCCAGTCCTGCCTACAGGTTTCTCTATGTCCCTATCCTATTTTTCAGAAAGAACCAATTTTTCTCCCATTTCCCATAAAAAAAATGAATTTTAATCTGCACAGATTCCCCCCACGCCCCACATGACCGTGTTCTTTTCATGTTCAGTTAATGGTCTTACCCAGTAGTTCTCTGGGACCCTGGAGCCCAGGCCCTGGGAATGCCCCTTCTCCACACACGCACATTGGTAGCCGCCCTGCACTCATTCTGTTCCATCTCTGGGGAAGAGTTTCCTTCCTTCTCTCCAAGGCTAATCCCTGCTCTTGGTTTCAAATCTCATTGCCTCCTGGGGTGGCTGCCATCTCAGCTATCTCCTTTCTACCTGATTGCAATCTCTCCCTCTCCACTGGCTCTTGAGTGCATGGACATCTGTCATCTTACATTATAATCGATGACCCAATATCCAGCAACCTTTCATTTTTCTGACTTCCCTTAGCTAATGCCTTTTCACCTTCTTGTCCATCGTGGGTAGGTACCTTTCTTGTACATTCTTGGCGGAATCATCCCTCATCTCTATTCCCTTGTCTTCCAGCTGTTCCTCTGGGCCATGCACATGGGCTTCCTCCCTGAGGCTACCTTACCAAGCCGCAGTGCTCACGCTTCACACGCTCCTTTCAGGCCGGCTGTCGCTTGGCTTCCGTGGAGGGTTTGGCTGGCTTGACCGATCCTAGGCCCCGGACTTTCTCAGACATCACCCTCTCCTGGGCTTCCCCCTGCATCCTCTGGGTTTCTCTTTGGTCCCCTTCACAGATTCCTCTTCCTCTGGTGTTTCCTAAATGATCATATTTTCCAGAGTCTTCTCAGCTCTCTTCCGTCCTCACTTTGCCTGTTCTCTGTGTTGGTCAAGGTTCAACCAGAGAGGTCCCTCCATGCTGAGGGACTTCTCCCAAGGAATTGGCTACGTGATGGGGGCTGCTAGGCAGGGAGTCAGCTGGGGCAAGCTGCTGCCCCAGTGGAATGGGGAATGGAATGTCTTCTTCCTCGGGAAGCCCCCACTCTGCTCTTACCGCCTTCCATTGACGGGACCAGGCCCACCCAGCCTGTCTACGATGGTCTCCCTTGCTTAAAGTCAACTGATTCATGGACTTTAATCGCATCTACAAAACACCTGCACAGCAGCACCTAGGGGAGTGTTTGAAGACCTGGGTACTGTGTCCTGGCCAGGGTGTCACATCACACTCACCATCGCATTCCTGTTCAGTGGTTTCATCCATTCTTGTGGCCATAACTGTCACGTACGTTCTGACAAATCCTAAATCTTTCTCTCTCTCTCCCAGGTCTCCATCCCTGTCTACAAACTCAGTTAGCCTCCTTCCT